GATGTGCACATGCTTTAGGGGGGAGGGGAATGCGCCAGTGGAGAGGGAGAGATTGAAGATGTGGGTGAGGGAGCGTAGGATGGAGGAGGAGGGTGACCGGAGGGTAACATTTTAGCAATTTTATTGTTGTCTCAAGAAATGTAAACATCCCTTGTGACAGCAATAGGCATGTGACCGGTACTCTTTATGGAGTGATATGGGGTCTATGAGACCCCAGATCCCTCCTCTGTCTTTAAAAGCATTTTATCACACCAAGATTAGTGTGATCAAATGCTTTCCATTCCTAAAAATGGCACCTTTTACATCCAGCGGAACCGGAAGTGATTTAAGGTAATTGCTTCCAGTTCCCTATATCTTAGAGATGACAAAGCAGTTCCAGTCTTTGTTTCTATGTTCAGCCTGCTAGTCGATCTGGTAGCCCAATGAAGCTGCGGAAGGGGGTAAGGACATTTCCTCTTGCTGCTTGTAAAGGCGATCCAGTGACAGGCAGCTCTATAAATGGTACTAGGATGATGCCTACAGCTGAAGGCATCATCCTGGTATAACCACTTGAAGTCCCACGATGTACAGGTATGTCTCTGGAGCTGCAGTGATTATATAGCATATACAATTGTCATGCAAGCTATTTAAAAATTGAAAGTTATTAAAAATGACCCTTCCATTTCAAACTGTCAAAACTGTCAAAAAATTCAATGCAATATGTCAACGTTGAGGTGTCTTTACACTGTTGGTGGACAGAATGCCCCCAGCAATGTCATTTCCTGCTGTGTGTATGGCTCATTGACTTTATCATACATTGGCACTAAGATACAAATACAATTTTAGGCATCCTCTGAAACAGGAATTACATTTTTGGTGGGGTACTTCTTAAGGTCTAATACCTTCTAGAGGGATGCTGACACTGCAACGTTTCATATTAGAACACTTAAAATTCACCCTACCCCAATGGATAAAGAGTTTCTAGGCATCCAGGGTATCATCTTCAACAGCTATTGCATAGTTGTTGTTATAATTGCATAACTTTTTCTACTGTCAAGTATTTTATTTTGACTTTCTAGATGGTCTCATGATTTCCCCGATGAAGCAGATGTGAACTACAAAGCGCGTTGACATATACTGATGGGACTTGATATTGTTGATGTCTAATTATGTGATTTTAAAGTTCAACACTTTATAATTGTATGGGAAAATGTAAACATATGGTGGTGTACATTGTCCTCCTTTTTAACCGCTTCCCATTTGCCCTATAGCAGAAATACTGCTACAGGGTGGCACGGGTGCGTAAAATCATATATATGTGATTTTGCATTTCCGGGTAGGGGGAGCGCCCTACCCGCGCCACCATTCTTGGTCACAACTGTCAATCACTGGGCCCTGCCCGGTGATTACTCGCCCGTGCCTGGTGAGTGCCAAGCATCTCTGACGGGGGGGGGGGGGAGAACTGTTTGTAGATGAAACAGTTATCCCTGTCAGCTCCTGCACAGCACAGCCACACAAAGTGTGCTTACAGTGAAGTACATACACAGCCTAGTATGCAAAACAACACACAGTTAACCCTTTGATCACCCCCACATGTTAACCCCTTCCTGCCCAGTGCCATTAGTACAGTGTCAGTGCTTTTTATTAGCACTGATCACTGTATTGGTGTCACTGGGGATGTCAGTTACATCAAGTCAATTCCACCCAGTGTCAAAATGACCACCACAGTCCTGCAGTCCTGCTATAAGTCGCTGATCACCGCCATTCCTAGTAAAAATAAAAAGTAACAAAAAAAATACCAGTATATATACACCCCCATATATAAACGCTATAACTCTCACATAAACCAATTTACATGTATTGGGATTTTTTGTTTAGCAAAGACATGTAGCACAATACATTTTGGTCTAAATTATGATGAAATTTGATTTTCAAATTTTTTTTTACTGAACATGTTTAATAGCAAAAAGTCAAAAAAATTGTGAAAAAAAAAATTACAGGTGTTCAAATATCACTGAAAGAAAGCTCAATTCGTGGGAAAAAAGGGACACAAATTTCATTTGGGTGCAGCGTTGCATGACCACGCAATTGTCAGTTAAAGTAACGCAGAGCCGTATCGCAAAAAATGGCCTGGTCATGAAGGGGGGGTAAATCCTAAAAATCCTAAATACTAAATTATGTGTATTTTAACAAATGTGTGATGCTTCAAGCACAGTCCCCTATTTTTTGAAAGTGTGTTCCAATTTTCCCTTTGAATTTTCTCATCACTACGGCCCCCCACTAAACAGTAGAAAATCATTTTTTACCCAGATTCCACTGGTGCATGGCCAGCTTCAATGTTGGTGGAAGATACAAGCAGCACTTGAATTTAAGACAAACAAGAAGAAGGGTCTGGTTAAATTTCAAGAATTTAAAAAAAAAAAAAAATCACGCATATTGTAAATCAGGACTATATAATGATTTGGATAATTAAATTGAGAAACCCCTTTCATGGGATTTTAAAGGCAACCATAAACAGTCAAACTTTTATGAATATAAAAACATTCTTTTATTATCCATATTGTTGTAAAAAAGGTTGGCCAACATTAAAAAAAGGGATTTTTTTTTCAGAAATAAATTATTCAGTGATATACAGTATACATTTTTTCACATATCCATATTCTCCACAAAAATATTGCATTTTTAGTATATTCTTGTTACAAGGTTGATTTTCCAAATAGTACAATTATCAACAGTCCCTACACAGTGATATCCCCAGCCAACACATGTACAAAACATGTCCACACTTTACAACTCGTTGAATCTTGATTGTTAGTTGGTCAGCTCGGTTGGTAAATGAACCCCAATAGAATATTGCACGAGAGTACAATAATTTTATAAAGAGCGATACAAATTTCACAGTACAAATTGGTCCAATGGGCTTCCAACATGCTTTTCCGGGTAAAACAAAACATTATTATTTGCACACAGCACATTATGACCCCTGCTAATTCCAACAATGACTCAGTAGTAATTGACAGCTTGAAAAGAAAATCAAGATGAAGATACCTACGGCTTCCCTCCATCAGGAACCATTGCACTGTCCGGAATCTCTGGGTTAAATAAACAATACTACCTCCAGACAGCACAGGTGCTAAATAGCTGACAAGGGGCTCCTAAGGAGAGACAGACGGCCCGCCTCATTAAATGCTGCAGGTGTCAAAGCATCCATGTTGTTACACCATATTTTCAGCAGTATACTACAAATTACAGTCACATAAACAATGAACAGAAGATTAATGGCTGCTACCTCACACTTACAAAACAGCTGAAACAAATGTTTTGGGGTTTCGCTTGAATGGAGCCTGAAATCAACATTTCCATTTCTCCTTCCAATGGTTCATGTAGGTGGATTGTTCTAACAGGTTCGCACAGCTTGAAGTATGAAAGACATACAGGAGATTCAGATCAAGTCACCATGAGAGTACTGTTTTCTGTAAAGTGGTTATAAACCCTTACATATACTCAGTGAAGTCACTGGCCTCAGATGATACACAGAGTTGAAACAAATCCTCCTACATAAGTTGTATCTGTCTATCTGCAGTCTTCTCTTCTTCACATCCGTTTGAAATGCTAAATCTATAAAGCTTGTCTGAGAGTTCAGTAAAAAGGGGGTGGAGAAATTGCACACTGCAAAGCTCAGCAGAGTCACAGCAGAGTTCTGAGAGCTGATTGGAGGGAAGAGACACACCTCCCTTCACACAGCTCACAGGAATAGAGCTAAGGCTGTTGATCTAATGGAGGTCCCTACCGTGCAGGGGCGGACTGACCATTTGGAAACTCGGGCACTGCCCGAGAGCCCGGGATCAATAGGGGGCCCCATTAGATTCCCCTGGTACCTTTTCCATAGGCTTTTTTGAGTTTGGGCAAGGACACAGGGGCCACATGATCCCCTATTGCCCAGGGGCCCCATGAGTTGTCAGTCCGCCCCTGCTCCCGTGTTACCATTTTTCTCTTGGTGTCAGGAAAACTTGTTAGAAGTGACTCATGCTCATAGCAGAGGAATGAAGCAGCAGACAGAAATGATGCTTAGTGCTCTTAATCGAGACAAGTACACACTATAGAGGGATATGCTTTGCTCATATTTCATGTCTGAGGTTTACAACCACTTTAAGGTTTGTTCACATCAGATGCATTGGGGCTACACTGGCGGCTATTTTCAACTCAGCCTCATGGTATAGACAAAGTTAAATGCCTTGTTTCCTGTAGTACAAAAATATAACAGTGCCACAACACTACTAAAATGTTCAGATATGACTTTACTCCAATAAAAGCCAGGGGGACAATCCAAGGAGTATCCAATGCATTTCAGGGGTCCAACTCCCCTCCCCTTTCATCTTTCCTTTGCTGCCAAACCACCTGCTGACAAACCTATTCTTGAAATCACACTGGAAAAAATACCAGGGCTTGTTCACACTTGACTAAATTTCTAACTCTTGCTAAACGCTCCTATAGATTTAGTATGGGCATTAGACATGCATTAATGAGCTTTAGTATGGGCGATAGACAGTTAAAAATGTTCCTCAAACTCTTGCTTTCAGTGTCAGTGTGAACTAAGCTTAATGATCCAGTTCACTTCTAGTTCACATTCACATTGTTGTCAGTGTAGCCCTGATGAAGGAAAGGTCCCCTGAAACACAATGGTTATATTTGGATTGTCCCCCTGACTTTTATTGGAATGAAGTTGTATCTGGACCGCTTAGTAGTGATGTGTTGCTTCAATTTAAATTTAAACCGCCTCCCGCCCGCCATATAGTTATATGACCGACGCAAGGTGGTTCTCTCATTCTGGGAAGACATCATATGACGTCCTCCCATTCTAACCGCACATGCGCGGCTCCTGGAGCGCGCAGCGTGGCGATGGGCGGTGCGCTGTATCCCTCGGACACAGCGGATCACTGATCCATGGAAAGAGCCAAAGATGTCGGCTCGGTCATGTGATCAGCTGTGTCCAATCACAGCTGATCACATGTAAACAGGGAAATGCCGGTTATCTGCATTTCTCTCCCCACGAGCTGTCACGCTGACAGCTCGTGAGGAGAGGAGAGCCGGTAATCGGCATTCTTCGGAGGGGACATGTACACTGATCATCAGGGCACTGATGATCAGTGTGCCCTGATGATCTGTGTAGCCCCGGCAACGCCACCCGTCAGTGTCCATCAGTGCCAGCTCTCAGTGCTCATCCGTTCCACCTGCCAGTGCCCATCAGTTCCACATCAATGCCACATATCAGTGCCCATCTGAGCTGCCTTTCAGTGTCACCCATCAGTGCCACCTATCAATTCCAGTCAGTGCCACCTATCAGTGCTGCCAGTCGGTGCCACCTATCAGTGCCAGTCAGTGCCACCTATCAGTGTGCATCAGTGCCGCTTATCATTGCTCGTCAGTGCTGCCTATCAGTGCCGCCTAACAGTGCCAGTCAGTGCCACCTAACAGTGCCAGTCAGTGCCGCCTATCAGTGCCACCTATCAGTGCCATATATGAGTGCTGCCTTTCAGTGCCCATCAGTGATGCCTGTCAATGCCCATCAGTGCCACCTACCAGTGCTTTCTCATCAGTGCTCATCAGTGCCACCTATCAGTGCCCATCACTGCAACCTCATTAGCGCACATCAGTGAAGGATAAAAATCACTTATTTACAAAATTGTATAACAAAAACTAAGAAAACCTTATTTTTTTTTTTCAAAATTTTCAGTGGTTTTTGGTTTGTTTTAGAAAAAATAAAAACCCAGAGGTGATTAAATACCACCAAAATAAAGCTCTATCTCTCACAAAAAAATGATACAAATTTCATATGGGTACAGTGTTGCATGAGCGCGCAATTGTCATTCAAAGTGCAACAGCGCTGAAAGCTGGAAATTGGTCTGGGCAGGAAGGGGGTATAAGTGCCCTGTAGGCTAGTGGTTAAATTTTCAATCAGATTTTATTTGAGTTTGAATATAACAATACAAAAAGAAATGGCCAACGTTCAACAGTGTCCACTTTCCACAAAGGAAGGCCACAGAATGGAAAGATACAGTGATATATAGAAGTGGTGGGAAACGTTATGTGATCAGTAAAAATGTGGTGTGGAGGAACGGAGAGGGAGGGGAGAAGGAGAGGGGGCAATAAAGTGAGATAGGGGAGGGAGAAGAAAATCAAGAACAATTAGAGCCATAAACAATAACCATCTCAAAACTGTTCAGACCACAGTTCAGGAAAGTCATCTAAAGAAAACAAATGTCTTAAGATGGCTTGGACACAATTTTGAACACACTAGTAGGAGATGGCTCTAATTTGTAACAAAAAGGAATCTGGGAATGGCGCAGATTGGAATACAACTAATCTATAATACTAATGGCGTGAATGTGCTGGGGGTATGGAAATCATTGGAGACTATATACGCTACGTGTCCATGTGTCCATTTTAAATGGCTTGTGGCAGCTCCTCAGTTAGAGTGAAGTTGGCTCAGCAACAGAAAGCAAAACTGGAAGACCCAGAGCCACGATGAAGAGCATGGACTGCACAGAACCAGAAGTGATGTCTCACCTGGAAGAGTCACAACCTGGGTGTGTGGCTATGTGTTTCAGAGCAGAACTGCTCTTTTTTCAAGCCTGGCTTGAAAAAGAAGCCGTTGCACTCAAAAACATGTAGCTACGTCCCCAGGTTGTGACTCTTCCAGGTGTGATGTCACTTCCAGTCCTGCACAGTCCATGAATTCCACAGTGGTTCTGGATCTTCCAGTTTTCTCTTTCTGGTGTTCTGCACAGCTCATGACAGCAGCACTACTAAAGGCATACTGGAGGCTGATTACATCAACTGCACTGGGTGGATTATATTATTTTACCGTCGTATACTCTGAGAATTGCACATGTGATTTGTTAATAAAGTCTTTCTATATGCTGCACTTAGTTGGTGCCCTCTGCTGTTCTTGTTTGATTACGGTACTTCAATCAGACACCCAACAAAGATGCTCAGAAGGTATGGGATGAACACGTGTATAGAGTATTCAATGAGGGAGAACAGCTTTGCAGACTTCAGAGGCAAGCTGTTCAGAATTTATGGGTAGTTGAAGAACTCCACTGTGACCAAAAAGACTTCTGCTCCTCATGTTTTCAATTTAAATTTTTATTACATTACACTACAAGCCTAGGAGACCTTGGAAATTCTCTGGGGTGAAGAAGCAGACTGCCTGAAAAAGAGATTATTTGCTTCAACACCAATACTTTAAGATAGCAATACCAATAAGGTAACCTTACAATTTTAACACTTTGCTTTCACTCCTTTCACCAGGCTTATGACGCCTAATGTAATTCCAAGATTTGTATCTAGCCCAGGCTGGCAATGACACACCCCCTGTATTAGCATCATTACACTGCAACGTGGTATTGAACAATGGTAATATATCACTAAGTGAGCGCCATACAATAAATCAGTAAGAACCAGAGACAGAGAGACAAAGGGGAAGCTAAAGATGAAACCAAAAGACACCAACTAAGGGCGAAACCTTTCATAGGTTTGGATAGTGTGGATAGGAATTAGTACACCCATTGGGTTTTTATTACTGTCTGTGTCCCTGTTAGGAAGATTTATCCTTTCTGTTTGTCCTGTTTACTGTTATCAAGGAAAGTCAAAGAAATCCAAAATTTTGTGTTGTCATCAGAACAGTATTAGAGAGGAAATCTTCTAATGGGGATACTAGTTCTGGTGACCACCAAGAATTCCTTCACTTTGGTGGGTTTTCCATCTTGCTTCCTAGTTTGGCTATGGGACAGAAGTGAAGGGAAATCTCCCCTCTGGGACACATGACAAAAAAGAAAGTGGCAAGTGTTATAAGTCTCCCTTGCTTTGTTTGAAATGAAAAAAAAAATAGTTTTTAATTTTTATTATTAATTACGTTTGGGTGGAAGTTAGTAAAATGGGGTGGACTGGAGAGAGGCAAACATGAGAAAAAGAAGTAGTGGCACCAGGGCTGTGGATAAGGGGGTACCACAAGTCCTCTTGCATGGGGCCCAGGCCAGCAGGGTGGCCCAGGCAGCTGGTTGAATTGGGTGTGGGCAGGGAGGATGATCAGCACGGTGGAGTGGGGGCGGGGCAATTACTGGAACTGATGCCCTGTATAGCTCTTTTTGCAGCATCTGAAAGCGGGATTCTTCTCTTCTCCCTCCCACTGGTTTTCAGTTGCTGCAGAGAGATTTAAGGGGATCGGTTCCAGTAATTGCCCCCCCCTCGCCCACCATACTGATCACCCTCCCTGTGCACATATGATTCACCCAGCTGCCTGTGGGCTTCCCTCCTGTCCTTCCCACCGGCAGCTGCAAGCACACAATAGGATTCTTCAGGACGGAGAGTGGAGGAAGGGTCTGATAAATGTGTCAAATTAACCAGCCCCATCATTTCCTGAATGAACACAATGAGTGATTGTTATGGATCACTCACTGTGTTTATTCATAACTGAAACATAGTAAACTGTTTAGTTGGGTTTTTTCTTAAGGGGGCCCTGTCAGGTAGGCTGTATGGGGCCCTGTGGTTTCTAACAACAGCCCTGAGCGGCACTCCAATACAAACAGAAGACTTATTTATTATTCAATCCATGAAGATAAAAATACAGCAATGCGTGGCTCTGGGAACATCAGTAGATGCGTTTCACACTCCTTTAGTGCTTATTCATTACAGTGACTTTTCCTCATGCTCACTGACTAAGCAGGCACACAGACACATCCAGCAGCATGGGATCTCTGACAGGTCAGCCTTGAGTGGTGTGTACCCTGTATGCTGTTTGACTGGAGAGAGGTAGTTAAACTGGAGATGGGTGTTAAACAGTAATATTAACTAATTAATAATGATAATTTTTATGTGGGCACACTTTGGCATAGGGCAAAGTTCTCTCCATAGTCTGTGTTGCTATGTCTATTTTATTAATTTGGATAGCATAAATATAAGTAGAATCTAGGATCCCCCTACTCATTTACTAATAAACTCGTTGGACTGGTTCTTGAAGCTCAGGACAGGAAGTGAGGTTGGAAGGAAGTAAGGGTAGGAAAAAGGACCTGAACACAACCATGTGCTGAACAAAGGAAGTGCTAGTAGATCTGGAGGACTCTGAGAAGCAAGGAGCACTCTGGATGAAGACTCCATCACCAGGAAAAAACAAGTTAAGAACCTATTAATGTAATCACATACATTGTTCAAGCTCATTTGCTAGGAAGGATAGATAGTGTTTGCATGTGTATACTGTATGCATATTTTGTAATACTCTGTTAGTTATTGTGAGTACAGCGATTTTGTTTAGAACGCAAACGTTTCTATATTATAGAGGTTTTTATGCTTCCTTGCTTTTATCATAAATAATTTTGAAAGACAAAGCAATACAATTCTAATTCAGAGGTGTCATCAATAGTGGCAGCAGAGGGCAGATACCCAAGGTTCAAAAATGACAAGGATTCAGAATTGTATTTGGAAAACAAATCTATGCTTTATTAGCAAATCTAAGACTCAAAAAGGATACATTGGCGCTGTCTTGGGTAATGCAGTAGAGGCATGGGATTAATAACAGTTGCAGATTTTCTGATAAAAATAGATTGGCTGCTGTTACAAACCCAATGGCCAAAGTAGGGAATGCAATCAGCCCCTCCTAGGACGTGTTAATGAGGAACATGCGTAATTAACACATGACACACATTCATGACATGTGTCTCCAGGAAATCCCAGACACATACCCATGTGGTAGCACATTACAGCAAAGTGGTAAAATATAATCACACAAGATCAACATACAGTGACATCATCTCAATATTGTGTGAAAATGTATTATTTTTGGAGTTGAATTTAAATATCTGCTACACGTGTTTGTTCATAATTAACTCTACAGTATATACCTTGTCAAGCATTTCTAAATATATCTGTAGAGCTGTTCTTGGTAAAAAAAAAACATCTAATTTTCAATTTATCACCATAAAAGTTGTGTAGTATATTTTTGTTTATTAATTAAAGATCCAAATGGGCATATAGAGTAGTTTGTGTATTTTGTTTTCCTTATAGTTATTTTGTCCACATAAAAGCATTGAATATCAATTTGCATTAAATCTAAATGTATTGGTAAGCAGGTCAGATCCAGCCTTTTCTCACACATATATATATGGTTAGACATGTGCAATTCGTTTTTGTTACAAATCGAAATTTTTACAAAATGTTCAGACATTCATAATTTCTAAGTTATAAATTTCAACAAATCCGAAATAAATTATAAAGAAACATATACAAAATAAAAAATGATATTGAATTTGAAAATAAATTCAAACTCAATATGAAACATGCAATAAATGCAGGAAGATATAAAAGTGAAATAAGATGATTATTCCTACGTACGCTGCTTTATAGAATAGAA